GTTCACTTCCCGGGCCAAACGTTACGTGCGGAACAGTCGAGCCAGACCAAGAAAACGGGGCACACTAAGGACAAACACGTAACAAACTCTTTAACCTTTTGCAAAATACAACGCTCTACCGGTGAAGCTTCCAATTAACAACAGCCTCCTTATACGCGGTTCAGAGTTCGAAACTAGAAACAAAGACGATTTTAGGTTTTCACGGCGGTGAGACTGGGTTGTCGCTGTCTTGTGGATTTCAATAGTTCGCCGAACTTTCAGATGTCCTTGCTGCCTCCATCTCTCATCACCCTGACGATGGAGGCAGCAACGATATCTTAAACATCTCAAAACTTGTATCAGACTATAAGGCGTTACAACCCAGAACACAGCAATCCATGATATCACGGGCTCGAATCCCGTTCGGGGTCAGATACCTGTCCGCGTTTCTTGCTTGAATTACTTAAACTATTAACGTGGCTGATCGGAGATCGATTCCATGCACGGATGTCGGTGCTGTCTAAACTACGGATTTAGGATCCTATTATTATTTGTATCATTCGAAAACGTGTTCCCCTAGATTAGAACACGTCTGACGTCTGTACACGACCCGGCTCTACCCGAAAATCAATGTCGCTGTTATTGATAACACTGATGTTGCGCACGACCGCCATCATATCGACTCAGTTGAAAATCTCTCAATGCGGGTGTGTGATAAATAGCAATATGACGAACGATGAACCGGGCGATAAAACCAACATGCTGGAAACATGCACAAAGAATTTGGCAACGATCGTCCCAAGAAAATTACAATAGTAATAATCAGATATTTCCTTCAGCAGCTGTTCAATTAGTCCCTTCTTATGGAATCCCAAGGTTCATCACCGCGTTCAAAAAACGCTATCAAATCCTACGTAGAAGATTGCTTTGTATGTCCTTTTAAGTTTATATAATTTTAATTTTTATACACCTGAAGATGGTTCATTTAAGAACCGAAACATGTCGTAAGAAAAAGATGTTCTAACTGTAAATCGAATGTTTCGATAAGGAACATCACATGATATTTTAATTATCTTAATTTTAAATTTTAAATTGTGAATAGACGGACAAGAATAATTAATTAAATATATATCTTCACAATATGACGCAACTATACCAACTTTGTATGTCCCGTCCATATTATTCTTCATTTAACTACAAACTGTGAAACTCATAATGTTCTTGTGTCCCCTAAAACATTTCTTGTGTGACCACATCTTAACCAACGCTGGTGTTTGTTTCGCTTGTTGCGTTACGGTAAACTGAATCTTTCATAAAGGAAGACAATTTATCTCAAAACCAAGGCAAACCGGCAACTTGGTCATCGCTGGAAAACCTCATTCGCCTAAACACGGCCAGGAAACATCCACTTACAAGGGCAACAAGCTCCATAAATCTACAATCTAACACAGCGGTCTGTCCTCTTACTTGAAAGAACTCTCCGGATTTCTTTCCTTCTACGATGAAATGCTCGGAATCGAAGTCCAGCTGTGCAGAAGAGAGTCGCGTATTATGACATTTTCAGAGGCACTGCGGTGTGATTGCCCCAGAAACACATCCACAGGCCAAAGCGATATCACATTCCTCCCTCTCTTCACGTAGTAAATAACAAGTACCGGTTGTGGACAAACTTCACGGCGAAAACTTTCCTTTTAATCAGAGATTTTAAACCCGCATTCCGCGTTCATTTAAAACACTATATCACACTACATGACGAAGAAATGGTCAAACCTAAGTTATATATTTAATCGGAAGAAAATTAATAAAAATACCAAACCAATAAATTTCTTTAAAACAAATGCACGATTTGTAGGAAGATAAGCTACAAACGTTTCTGAGGAACATGTCTCCTACAGAGCTTCAGAACTGAAGGTGGAGGCAGCACGATCCTACAAAACCTTGGTATCTACGTACCAAACCTACACGCCCTCACAACTCAGAAGGCCCAGCGTGGACATATTCGTCGCTGTGAGAACCTCATACAGTAACGTGAATCCGTTTGCTACATGCAGTAGCTATTTTTAATAAATTTCAATTAAGTTTCAATCCATGTTCCTCATTCACGACGAAAATACACATTGAGTTATAAATGAAGGTATTCACCCTCTTATTTTCCATTAGGCTTCCGTATTATCCGACCGTTCTTCGACCCCGTTATGGTCGGACAATCCGGACTCTGCCGTACTGAACTGTGCAACCCCATATCTGACCTTCATCATAATGCTAAACAAGTTCCTGATAACCTCCAATAATTATCGTTCAAGTCTCATATGTCAGTCAACGACTACGAAGCTCGAAGTGGTTTCAAATTGGGTCACATTCGACTTCTACTCTGAAGTTTCACTCGACGGTTGTTTAACCCTTTGAAGCCGAAGATCGTCTGAATATTATTTATGAATTCAGTCCGTACCGCGAAGAAAACACCTCACCATTACGAAAATCAGCTGGTTAACCCTTTGAAGCCGAAGCTCGTCTTCATAATATTTACGAATCCAGACCGTACCGCGAAGAAAACACTTCACTTAACCATTAGAAGTCGAATCATGTGGTACCACATAAGATTTAACAAAAGAACATCCCTGTCAAAGCCTTAATAAAAGTTGAGAAAGAGACAGCCATTACGTCACAGATAAATTTACACCACACTACACTACAAAATTACTAAAAAATAAATACAATACTCTAGGTCTGGACAGATCGTTCAAATAAAAATGTAAAGTAGCACATTCATCAAAATCACAGAACGGAACAAGAAACCCAAAGCAACAAACGAGTAATCTGGATCTATTTACCAAAACACCAATCCGACATCACACAATTAAACGAACTCAAAAAAAAAACAAGACGTGAAATTCGTAAAAAAAAGAAAGCTGAACCTGTTATTTTATCCAATCTCTACATTCTGTGCTATATATTAGTAAAAACATATCTAATGTGCAGAAAGGATTAAAACATGCTTCCGTTATGATTAATGCATGAAGACGTCTACAGTTTCTTTCTCTTGGTGTGGGAGGATTCATAACTACTACCCCAACTCCTGCACAAAACGTTCCAAGACGAGATCGGAACGTTGCTTTGTGAAGAGGCTGTAGCCACAATGTCTTGCTTGTTAGCCACTTTCAATATGAGTCGTTCAAATAACATTTCAGTTTTGTTTGTAACAAAAATTATTCTTACCCGTTGTGCACAGCAACGCCGAGTGGCTCCTTCATTGTAACGCCCGCACACTCCGACCAGCACAACAGCTGAGAACACACTGGACTAGAAGGAGAAGGAGGGACGGAGGGAGGACAGATGACTAATACGTCGCCACTACCACTTTGCGTGGAACAGCGCTAGCATCGCAAAACAGGTGACTAGCAGATACCGTCCCAGAGACACTACCTGCGCCATATTGTCGCAAATAGACTTATTACGTCGCTCAAAAGCGGAGATTCATGATCACGTGAACATTCGGAAACTGCCTCATTTGAATTTGGTACAATTCTCAAGGCGTTTACTTTCCAAAGCAGTACCAAACCTTAACAAATAAATATTATGTGCTCTAAGTTTCTTGAAAAAAAATTATTAAAATACTAAATATTTTCGTATGTGTAGAACGTATTTAATACTCAGGTTTATGTGATTTCCCCGCAAACGAATTGTCACTTTAACATAGGATTCCTTATCCGTCGCATTCTCAAGGGACCAATTAACAACGCACTTGATTTGTTTTCCAGTTTACAAACAGAAACAAGAGATTATTTCCACTGCTAGTTTAATACTTCGTGATTTCAGTGTCCTTCAAAGTGGCAACCTTCACAAGAATTCAGTGTGTCCTTATTTCCCTCAGAGCTGTGAGTACATACCAGTGTAACGGCTATGTACTTTTATTTAACTATGATTCAAAACTGCAATTACTACAGAATGTCGACTGCGGAGATAAATGAATGACGAATCGAGAAGCACTCGAGCAAATACGATTGTGCGACATTTTAAGGCAATCTCTCAGCATTTTCCCGCAAGAACTGAGGAAAACCAAGACAAATATGTCAGGATAATCGACCTCCTGAGAGAGACCTCTCGAACAGGATGACGTACAGTCCACAGATCAGGAGAAAATCCCTGCTAGGAATGCGATACACGCGCATGCGCAAGATTTAGCGGAGAGTGACGACCGATCCTAAAAGCATTCGTTCCACAACCACTGAACGAACAACAGACGACAGGCTTTCATGTGTTTTAATGGGTACAGCTTTAAGTTTACCTCACAGCAGCACGGCGATTTAATCTAGAATATTATCGCAACACCCACAGAACACATTAGAGGTGCACTCACTACACGCTAATCTCAACTGCTTGATGTTTTCAGTCTGCCTCCCTCCCCCCCCTCAATTCTACTTCCCCAGCGACAGGGTACGAGGTGAGCTGTAGCTATAAATTTCAACCTTCCTTCCGATGTAACAGCCTCAATTCTCCATTTAAATTCCAATTCCAAGGAGCAGAGTTGCTCTTGAGAAGCGAGACGGAGTCTACGCTCAGCTAATCAAGAAATTACTCGCCTTTTATGGAACCCCGAACGTTCAATGCCATGTCCGCAAGAGCCCGCTACCGGTCCCTAACTGGAGCCAGATGAATCCAATCAACACACGAAAACTCTAAGACCCACTTTAATATTATCTTCCCATCTATGCCTAGGTCTTTCCTTTTGGGGTTTCCACGCTCATTCTCCTTGATTGGATCATCCTAATAATAGTTTTTAGACAGCAGAGGGGAAGACAGTCGCGTGGTACCAAGAATTCTTCGAATTTGGTCTAATCTTAATTTCTTTGTGAATGCAAATCTGATTTGTTACCGTCGTTTCCAAATATATGAATTTCGCTACATTTTAAAAGAATTTATTAGCTACCTTTATATAATGATTTTGTGACGAGGCAAGACCACGCACTTAGTTTACTCTGCGTCAGTTCCAGAGTAACGTCACACCAGAAACCTAACAGATCTTCTGTGGTTCTTCTTTAGTATTTACGTTTTCTCCCGAGAAATATAGGAAGCTGATGTGCCCCATTCAACTCCAGACCTCTATGTATTCTTGGCCCTTCCTGATGACACATTCTAAAGCAAAGTTTAAAAGCAACTATCATAAAGTTATCTCCTTCTTTCTGGCCCCAAAACTGGAGGATCACCCCTTGTCGGCTGTCAGAGACCATATCTTGAGGCCTTCTCCACCATCCACAATCTGAAGACAAGTTAAGACGGCCACTTCCACATTAGTGGGCTGATATATTTCCCACAATAACTTACTTTCAAATACTCGTTATTAATTCCCATTCCTCCTTAAACTATGAAACACGTTAATTCAGAGACGAGGTTTAAACGGAGGATTTTCGTCAACTGGGTTACGGATTCTCACAGTCTTGCAGGTGGGTTTACCTACTGCCTTCATATTCGGCATAGGTTACATCGTAAGAGTTGATAACAACCTACAAGACAATCACTCTACTTAGAACCTGTACTTTTTCATTAATAATTCTGAGCGATCAGTTTGGCGTGTCACTTGCAACAGTGCGTTGCCCCACTTACAAGGCAAGGTTCTTATAACAGCGACGTGGAAATATGCTTACTCGTGCCAGCTGGTACGTAACATGCATACACAGACTTCACAAGACACGTGTTCCATCTTTATTTCATAATAACGTTCGACAAAATAACAATAAAAACTTTCGAAACCGTAAATAGTTACGAAAAAGCTTCTTTCCCGCAATTACATTACTTGATCATAACAACAGCTGCTTACGGATTCGTGTACGCATATTTCTTCAAGTCTCGATATATTTCGATAATCGATATCCTGCCTCGATTCACAGATTTCGATCCTGGGATCAACGTCCTGGTGCCACTTCAAAGCCCCTTAATTTCACGGCCAAACCACGAGTTTACTACAATCGATTAGTCGCAGGCATACGATTTTCGTGAAACAGCAGATCACTACAAATCGATTCTACAAAGATCTGATGATGGTATATTATAATTAGTAATACTGGGCTTATAAGACTTCCATCGCCTAGCATTTCGAAGAGAATGCAACGTTTCGGAAACTGGATCTGCTTCTGTCTTCAGGTGACAAAGTGGGGTCGTCCAGTAATTGAGAAAAGATCTTTCTAAAAGAATCAACTGGATCAATAACGCCCAACCTTTTCACCTGAAAACAAACAACATCGTTTCCGAAAAGTGCTCTGTTCTGAAGGTAAATCCAAACACCCACTAACACCAACATAAGTCTATTTCCTGTACCACAAGATACCAACGGATGTTATAACTTATTTTTCCCCAGGAAGAATCAGAACGAAGATACAGAGTGAGACTCGTTATCGGGAGGTTACTCCCTGCAAAGACAGTGCCCTAATTAATGAGAGATTTAATGCAACAAAAAAGGAGAACAGGACAGCAGAATGGAAAAAGGCCACAAGAAATCGATAAATAAATCATCGTAAGAGAATTAATGGGGCGAATAAGAGCAAACTCCAAGCCACAACGCGAAACAAAAATCGCGCTAGTTACAGCTATGACATATATATATTTTAATTAATTAAAATCTTTGGAATATAGTCTTAACCTTAAGATAAAGTTTATCTGGCATTTATACATGACGAATATAGCAGCAGGACCAAAACAATCTGCAGACTCCATTTTACTCTTTCTCGCACCTTCGAGGTCTGTGACTTCCTCGCCACAGAAGAGAAAACAAAGAGAGATCACCAGGACACCTGCGAAACAAGTTCGTGTTAGGCAGAGCGGATCTGGAAGGAAGGGGTGGGCAAAATAGCGTAGTGAGGGAACTTGAAATATGCAAGTCCTGAAGCGCCAGGCATTTCGTCTTTTATAATTACTCCAACTGATTCAAGGAAATACTTAACTCATACAAGGGACTTGTCAGAGGCGAGGAATGAAATGTGGACCGGATGATCGAGATAGTTACAAATGTTTTTCCCCATTTCTTACAATACGCCCATGTGCATAACGTCTCTGCGATTGTACAATTGGCACCGCGACATCATCACTGGGGTTAAGGTAGGCACAGCGTGAAACAGTCTTCTAACCTCCAACTACTACAGTGACACATACGAGGTGCGATCGGAAAGTTTCAAGAATGTGTCAATAGAGGGCGAACCGGATGTAGTACAAGCTTCTGCCGCTAGGGGGTGCGGCCTACATTCATAGTAAATCAGTGTGCCAGCCGGCATCATCGAATTAGCATTTGTTTCTTAGTTACGGGCGTTTTGGTAGTGCATTACACCGACCCTCCTGCGATTTCGGAATGGCGTGTGCATCAAATTTTGCCAAAGACTCGCCAAAACGGCTACGGAAACCTATGAAATGCTAAAGCAAGCATTTGGGGAGTCCGCAATGGGTCGTGCACAAACTTTTGTGTGGCATTCACGTTTTAAAAATGGCCGAACCTCTGTCGATGATGACGAGCGTTCTGGACGACCATCTTCGAGCACAACGCCCGAAAATGTTACGAAGATTCGGCAGGCCATTCACGAAGATCGACGTCGTACCATCAACGACTTGTGCGACATTGTTGGGATAGGCTATGGGACCTGTCAGCTGATTCTAAAGGAAGAACTCCACATGCGACGCATCATGACAACGCGCCAGCGCACACCGCCCTCAAAGTTCGGCAGTTTTTGGCCTCAAACACCATGGCCGTCATCCCGCACCCTCCTTATTCGCCGTGTGACTTCTTCCTCTTCCCAAAGATGAAAATTCAGCTAAAGGGAAGGAGATTTGAGACGATAGAAGAGATTCAGGCAGAATCGCAGATGGTGCTTGACAGGCTGACAAAGAAAGATTTCCAGGGATGCTTCCAGGCTTGGCAGCGGCGCTGGGATCGTTGTGTTCACTCCCAGGGGAACTACTTCGAGGGTGATGGATGAATTTAATACCTGAGATAAGTGTACGGGTTTTTATAGGCTCAGTCTAGAAACTTTCCGATCGCACCTCGTAGTCTAAGACATTTATGCAATTTCATGGACGCTGCTATTACGAAGAAAAACAGTTTAACTTCATCGTTAACTCAACCGCACTGCACACAGTAAATTTAAAAATGCCACGTCGAAGCAAGTAGTTTCGATTTCACAAATCTTTGTAGGCGCTTCTATCAACGCAATCAAACAAATTTATAACACAAAATAGCTCATCGGTAACGCGTCGTGTCTGGCCTCTATGTTCATCCCTATGAAGCTCTCGTCTCGGTTGCAGACGTAAATATACTAACTTGGTTGTGCATCCTTCCATACTAACAAATTTTCGAGTACACCACGACCACTTCCTCACACATACATCCAATTCACCGTTCATAAACTTCATATCTAATTTGACACTACACAACACTTGCAATTGATACCTTGTCGTTAAATACCTCGCCTGAAATGAATTTGAGGAACCGGTGATCATAAAAGAGGGGAAACGGGAAATGCTCCGAAATCGATATCCAGTCAAATCAGACATCACTACCACAGAACTCAATTACTCTTCCTGGGATACTGGGACGACCCGTTTTTCAAGTGCCTGAGCACTGCGGGTCCCAACTTTTCGTTGGCTTTGATCTATAGACATTCGGTGGGACTCCTTGGACGAGGGATCAGCCCGTCGCAGGGCCTCTACCTGTACACAGGACAGCACAACACAGAAAAACGCGGACAAACATCCATGGCTTGAGTGGGATTCGAACCCATGGTCCCACGAACCAAGCGGCACAAGGCCCACGCCTCAGACCGCGCGGCCACTGCGGACCCCACTAACTACCCTTCCAGAACGTCAAAATGTTTCGAGGTCCCATCATTACAGCCACCCACAATTTTACGAATGTCGCAAATGCTGACAAGACCAATTGGTAACTCCCTGGTAGCAGAAACCACAGGTTCAACACCGACAACACCAAAGTCCGCCACTGGCCACTATCCTGAACCAACTCCATCCATTTGCCATCCTCACAGCTCACCTCCCTAAGATCCATCTTGATATCATCGTCCCATCTCCTTCTTGGATTGCCCAGTGGTCGTTGTACAAAAGTATTCCCTACCAAAATTCTGTACGCAGCCCTTGCCTCCCAACCCATGCGTGCTACATGTCCAGTCCATAGAAGCCTTCTACATTTCACTATCCTCACTACGCCACATAACTTGTACAATTCACGCAGCTCCTCGTTATGCAATATTCAAAATTCCCCACTTATTTCATCCTTCCTAGGTCAAAATATCGTCCTGAGCGTCTCGTTTTCAAACAGACAAGACAAGAGGCAAAATTATTGTTTTATATATCCTGATATTCAGTGTTTTAGATAGCAAACAGAATAACAGTTTTTGAATTGAATAAAAACAAGCGTTAACCGAATGTATTCGACTCTTAATTTCACCACGGACCTCATTTATATTTGTTATTGTTGTTACTTAAAATTATGTTCCGCTGTTGCTGATGTTGATCCCGTATTACGCCCATGTATTTAGTTTTGTCTACATTTACTTCTAGGCCTATTTCCTTGTTAGTCTACAGGAGAGTTCCCGCATTCTTGGCTATGGTACCCACACCCTCCCCCAGCGAATTGACGTCATCAGCATAGGCAAGTACCTGGTGCAGACCATTCAATTCGAGCCCTTCCTGATTCCATCTTACCTTCCTGACTACATGTTCTAGAGCAAAATTAAAAAGCATTGGGGATAAAGCATTCTCCTGTTTTATGCCATTGTGCACTGGGAAGGGATCTGACAGAAGGATAGCTATAAGAAATCTACTAGATACCCCATTCATACACATCGTAATTGACCTTACAAGTTTCTTTGGCATTCCAAACTCAATCTGAGTCAAATGCCTTCCTAAAGTCCACAAATATTTGGTGTACTGACCCATTATACTCCAATTTTTCTCTAATATTTGTCGAATGCTAAAGATCTCATCAATTAACCTATTACGGTGGAATCCACATTGATCTTCCCCGATATTTTCATTCATAAATGGCGTTAACTGTGCCAGAAGAATATTCGATAAAAGTCTTATGACGTTGACAAAAGAGAGATACCTCAGAAGTTACTGCATTCAGTTTCGTCCCCTGTTTTATGGATACGGACAATTGATTCTTTCCACTGTTGTGACGGTAACTTGAAAATTAAAATCAGGGTAGCATCTGCTGATTCCGGAAGCCACTCAAACATTGAGATCAAGGGTTTGAATCCATCTGTTGTCCTGTGATGGTAGAGGCTTCTCAGTACACCGATCTTAAATGTTGCTCTAATAAGAATTTCGAGAAGTTTCTTGGCACAGGAAAAACCCAAATCAGGCTATATCAAAGAAGTATTTATCGTGTGGAATTCTAAAATCTGTTACCCCATCTTCCACAAAAATCATGTTTATCTCGTCCCTTAGATTATTACATTTCACTACGTCGCCTACAGAGCGATATAGCAGATTGTATGGCTGTAAATTAGGAATAGAAAAGATGTGGAGTTGTCATGATCTATTTGAAAACTTCAAGTTGATATTCTCACAGTGGGTCTGCGGAAAACCACAAAACACAAGGCAGTAGCCGGTTCCCTACATTTCAAATATAAGTTACATTCATTACAGCTGCGGTAACAAGATGTGTTGGATCATTTGAAGATCATATTTTGTTAATTATTATCTACGTGTGGACCACAGACACTATAAATTACCAGTCACTCCCGTGACAAAATAAGGTCATCTACCTGAACACAGTATAAGTTTCGGTAAGAAGCAAAAGGACCTTAAAGATGCGTAGGGATTTGAGGAATAGTTACATGTCCCAGCTGCTCTATTGCCTGGGGACGAGCTGGTGGTACCCGTTTAACAGGAGGATGGGTGGTCTACATGGCGACAAAAAGAAAAATCCTTAGTGCTGTCTGAAATCGGATGTCGTTAGTCTAGGCCGCAGCCAGTCACTATACTGATGCGTCTGTTTCGATAAAAAGAGCTTAGAGTGACTACTTTCCCCTAAATTCTTTTACCTAAAATAAGAATACAGCAAGAAGCCCTAGAAGCTCATGGGCTCCAACTAAGATGTGGATGGTTACTTCAATATTCCGGACATCTTTAACACATGGGAAAACTGACCTTGATACACAACGTTTAAAGAGTTTGTTGGACAGTAACAAAGAATAGAAATTGCCCAATGTTCCTCCTGAGGATCGAAACGTCACCTTACTGAGCTCCCATGGACTTAAAACAAGGATAGACGCTAGAATTATTTTACAATCATGTAATGCGATTTGAACGGTACGGTTGTAACATAAACCGACGAGAGTGGTTTCACGTCACTTTTACAAAAACATTCTACAGCTACAACCCACCATACCTAGCTGCAAGATGTGTTATATTATATACGTATCAAGGGTTCTCGTTACTGCACCACCCTGCCATCTATTGGACAAGCGAACCATGCACAAGAAGAAGGGAGATATTTCTCTTTCTCATAAACACGCATGTGCATGCACACACCCATAAGAGCACACAGCAACACTTTCCTTGAAAGTATCCTTAGGGGTTAATGAATCTGAACTCAGAACGAGGTTACTGTATATAAAGACAACATAATACTGACATAATGGGACTGAGACCATGCTGCTGAGAGACATAACTACGACATATAGATGAAGATGACTGTCTTCTGGCTTGTTGCACCACAGTCTGGTTGAAGTTTACCGACGTTTCAGAGGTCCTTGCTGCCGCCATCAATGCCCTGATGATAGGGGCAGCACGGACCACTGAGACGTCGGTTAACTTCTACCAGACTATGTGGCGCCAAAACCCAGAAGATAGCCATCTTCAGACTCACCGCCATGAAAACCTCAAATCCTACAAGACACGTAGATTTTTTACATGTTTTACTGAATTAATAAATCTATTGTTTAGACTGAACTAATTTATTTGTAAAATCCCCCCTCCCCCATTACACAATTCTACTTATACAAATGCACAGAAGCAATTTCAGTTTTACATCCAACAAAAATAAAAAATATTTTAACAATAATTGCAAATATTTAAGATCTAGTACCACTAAAAATTCCAGGACCCTATAATAAGTAGTGGTAGTGGTACTGTCACTCCCACTTCAGAAATTTGCATGGCTGTTACAGTTATATCACTGATGGTACAAAACTGAAACTGAAACAAAGGTGAGGTGGTCTCTTGTGGGATATGTTCATACAAATCTTCTTGAAAATATGTCCAGGGTGATAAACACAAGACATCACAAGCTTGTTTTTCTTTACATACAGAAGAAGGATGTCCTGCGCCGTAACCGTGCGGTCTGAGGCATTATGCTTCGGACCGGCAATACGGAATGCGCGCTGGCTGGTTCAAGTCTCAGGGAAAGAAATTTCTCATGAAATTTTTGATTGGTGCCAACCCAGCATCGTGAGGAAATTGGGGAGCTACAATGGGAAGCGTAATCCGGTCATGAAACCTAGAGATGGCTGGGGGTTCGTCGTGCTGACCACATGTCGCCCTATATCTGGTTGGATGATCGTGAACATGAGGCCAGCAGCCAGCTAGTCGGCTTTGGCTCTCAGAGAGCTCTTACGCCACGAATTATTTATTTATTACAGAAGAAGGATTAAAATGTCTGAGAAGCATGTATTATAAATGTGTATGTGCATAATGCACCTCCAGTTGCACCCCACTAGACTACATTACAGGAGTGAGGGACTACTCACCCATTTTCCTTGGCGCGTGTTCCAAGCAGCAATGACCATTCCCGCAAAACACTGTCAGACTGTGCCTCTAGCTCCGATATCACCGTCACTTCATCCAGTTGATGCAGGACCCCACTTGAATTGTCCAGACGACTGGAATCACAATCAAAGCCCATAATTGTGACAGTGCCACACAAAACACAAACCACAGAAAATTTTTAATGACTTTACTTCCATGCTTTGATTATGTAACTTTGATATCAACTTCACTAAGGGCTATTCAACTCTCAGAAAAGTTCTTCCTGATCCTCCTCACTGGCAGGCCTAGTTGTTCTGATACATGTACTACAGAACACAACTTTCATTCTTCCTGTCACTCAACTTATTTATTATTTGTTTGGGATCAGTCAGTATAGTGACTAGCTACAGGCTGGACGACTGGGGTTCGATCCCCAATGGAGGCCCCTGCATCTAGACCAGCTCTGCGGCCCACCCAGCCTCTTATCCAATGGGTACCAGGTCCTTTCCTGGGGGTAAAGAGCGGCCAGGGTTTGATACTGACCACTCACCCCCATCTAGTGCTGAGGTCAAAAGAAAGTATGAGTATACCTCCACTCCCCCCTCAAACAACTTACATGGTGTGTATCAGGACAGCTTTTTTTATTTATAATAATGTTTATACAAAATACAAGGTAAATAAGTTGAATATATTAAGTGAGATTAGTTTAATAATAATAATAATAATAATAATAATCAGTGGTGTAACAGCCCTCTGAGGGCCAAAGCCGACTAGCTTGACTGCTGGCCTCACGTTCACATGCCTAAGCAGAGGTGAACAATCATCCAACCAGATACAGAGTGACGTGTGGTCAGCACGACGAACCCCTAGCCATTGCTAGTTTTCATGACCGGATTACGCTACTCATTGTAGCTCCCCAATTTCCTCACGATGCTGGGTTGGCACCGGTCCCATACACCAGTCGAAAATCTCAAGAGAAATTTCTTTCCCCGAGACTCGAACCAGCGCGCATTCCGTATCACCAGTCCGAAGCATGATGCCTCAGAACGCGCGGGACTTAGTTTCATAATAATGAGTTGATAAACATAACTTTTATATGCACTGGGAAACCAAAAAATTTGTGTGACTCGCTTTATTGCGGTGGTCTGGAACCGAACCTGCAATAACTCCGAGGTATGCCTGTAACTGTTAATACAAATGATTCAATGGTGCACACTGTAAATATGCGAAGGATGTGTAGGAGAACATTGCCTCTCACCATATTTACTGCAATAGCCTAAAGTGAAAGATAGGATTGGCGTCCCCTGTATCAGTGAGCTGTGAGAGGAGACTCTGGCACGTCCGTGCTCAAAAGTTCTAGCCACAACCTGTACCTCATAAATACATCGGCATTAGTACTACTTAAGATAACATGCTCAATGACATTACTGAAGCACAAGATATGAAGCATTCATAGTGACTGAATGCAATAACGTTTGAGTATGGAGATAAAATAAAAAGTTTCAAAGAATTTCTGTCTCCATCATCAGGCTTGCACATCATCCATCATCACAACTGACATGCAACTATCATAATGTAAAGAGTAACAATCACCAACACATTAGATTGTAATTCCATACTTATGTGGCTGATCACCAGATAAGATTTAAGTGCACGACTGAACGAGACATTACCTTTCAGCTGTACAGTCAAATATGCTTCCCTCGCTGCGCTCGTAGTCCAGCATTAGGTCATCAGATGCGATGCTCTCACAGGGAGAGAGGGTGTCAACAGATCCGGTCCTGCTAATTCGTCTTGCCCTCACAGGGCTGCCATCAGCAGATGCTGAAACTTGTCTTTTTGGAGCTGCAACAGACAACACTGAATAATGATGCATCACATTACAAAAAGATTAAAGCCTGCAGAAATGCAACTCTGATTTATCAATGTTACAAAAAATATTTCAGCTCTCCTCCCATTCTTTTTTAAAAAGATTTATCAGTTACACCTCAACAAAAATACATTATATCTGATAAAGTTACCATTATAAGATCGGAAAAGTGTACTTTTTTGAGTGCGCTGAAATTCCAAAGCGTTCTTCACACCACATCATGGGCCTTGATGTCAGCAGGGTAGCCAAATGAACAACAAATATAACAACGGTACCATGGGGGGCAATAATGATATCCAAGGTCATAGCCGCAATGAGATCCTGCCATTTTTTGCAACAATCTGAGGCAATGATTACCTCAGTTCACAATGATTCACCAATGTTCCAAAAATTGCACTGGTTCGTCATTGTTGCGACAACGACTTCCAGTTGCCTAGTTCCCAGGAAAAATGTGTCAGAAAAAGATGGGTCCATAGCGTGTTCTTCACACATGCTAGAGTGTGAAGAACACCTAATATGCCTTCTAAATGAGAAATACTGAGGAGATATTAGACTCAATGACACAGAAACAATGGCAGTTTCTGCTGGCTTGTATGGCTAGATTCTAAAATAAAGTTATGCCCCACTTAATGGTACCTGCACCTTGTCGTGGTGGTGGGGCTTGAGTACCTCAGTGACCCCAAGAGCTACTGGTAGGGCCTTCCTAGCCAGATTGGTCGAGGGGGAGAGGTCAGACTAAGACAGGTACCCTGGACCTCCAGGTTGGGGGTTGGTCGCAAGGCTAACAACCTTGCACCGTATAAAGGAAGACGTTTCGAAACCTCGATCAAAGCCTCGGACAGACGGACCTAACAGAGGACCGAATGGAAGAGGAGAATTGAGGAGACCATGGACCGAATACGGACCGGAGAGCCATAGAAGAAGAAGAAGATAAAGTTATGATACTGGGGTGAGATTACAGGACAGATGATGATATAAATATGCAGGGACATTTTCAGTTGAATATGAGAACAGGAGATATAAGGCAAACTGTGTTGCTCAAAACCGAAATAATGGAAGATAAAAGATATGTAAACAAACGTTAAAGTAAACATGTAATAAAACTATGATTTAGGAAAAAGAAAATAAATCATATACACATTTTGCAGGTAAAACAAGTCAATGGAATGGTTATAATGATGGACTCATAATGAAAAAGAATCCATTTAAGCACTGTGCAGTTCCCGTGTAGAGCCATACCTGGTCTAGATTTGGAGGAGTCTACAAGTGTAGCTGTATTTTCTGTCATAGATAAAAGTTGGCTGGTACAGCCTCCAGAAGACGTGGCCACGTCACCACTGCCACCTTGTCCTATCGGCGTAGTATTACTACCATCGCCAAACGTCAGCCCAGGCTGATCTGCGATTTCATCATCAATAAGGAAGTCTCTTCCTTCTGACACAGACAGAGACAGAGATGTGGAGGCATTGGTGGGAGTTCCAGGGCTGTCAGGGCTCGTCATGTTCGCAGATTGCTGTGCAGACCTGTAAGGATCCTGCACATTCTTACTGTTATCCGTCTGGAGAAGGTCTGACAGCGGCTTGTCATGGTCCTTCTCCATAATATCAGATGCAGTACTGGTGGCAGTGCTGCTACTAAAGAGGCTATCAACTGGAGATGTCTCATCTTCAATCATAGTTGGTGAAGCAGCAGCCGCTATCGCTGCAAACAACGGATCCTCGATGGCAAGTATGACAGACTGTGGTTGCTGAACAGTTTCCACAACTGTTGCTGCAGTTGTAACATTCAAGTTCATATCTTCAGGTGATGAACTACAATGGGCAGCACGTCCATCCTCACTGGAGCTACTGTACTCTTCTGCCATTGCCTCACCATGTCCCCAGTCTTCCTGTTCCTCAATACCGACTGGTGCAAAAAGGTCTTTAACAGATTCAGTCTTCTCACTGTGTGATCGGTCTCTAAAAGCTTTTTCCTCCTCTTCTCCACCAAGACCTTCGTCATCCTGGAACTCATCTGAGGATGCAGTGGAAGAATTCTGCTGTCTCTTATTACTCGTGATCTGCCTCTGATATTGCAATGACCTTTGTTGTACTATCCCAGTGTTTTGAATTATTTTGATTGCACCACTTGTAGGTTTTGAACTTGGAATTGAGATCAAAGATATTTCAGTAATTACATTTGGATCATCAGCAGTACAAGAAACTTCATCTTTTAGGTCTCGAACATCAAAGTACTGGCCATTCACGACCATCTCGAGGGTTCGTGATTTACGATTTCTACGAACGCCAAACGTTGGACTGCTATCAAGCTGCTCGATACCTTGCAGGGTATCCGTCTCTCCATAGCACGCAGCTCCACTCTGGTGGCTACCAATTCCTGAATCACCATTAAGTGAGCCTTCCTTTGATGACGACTCCTCTCCACCCAACACCTGGTATGACACCTTCCTTGTGCTGTTGTTTGCAGCTGTTTTAGCTCCTTTTGTTGTTTTCTCGCTATCAACAGATGTGAGTCGAATAGGATACTGAGGTTTGGGTAGCAGTGAAGTTTGGAGGGTGAATCGGGAAGCTTTCCCTTGTTCATGATTCCCAAGTTGTGAAACGAGGGAGTGCTGATTTTTTGTCTTGCCACTACCACCACTGCTTGCAACAGACTGTGAAGAGTGTTTTATTCTAGGAGTCACAGGTGTAACAACTTTACCACCCCCTTTAGCCCTCGGTTTCTCAGCAATGAGAACGTTGTGGTTTCCCTGATTGTGATGGCTTGATGCACGATGTGAAGACATAACAGCTGTGTTATTATTGCAGTTAGAATCAGCGACTTTATTTGTGACTGAGCCTGCAGTGGGGCCTCGAAAGCCAAAGCGATTGGTCCTAATCAAGTTTCCATCCACATCTTTCTTTGGCCGAGCGAGCCTTGGGGTGGATTTCCCTGATGGAATTGGGCTAATACTGTTGAGTGACTCCTTGGAAGCTGTCTTGCTACTGGCTAAGCTCCCAGGACTATCCAAGATTGGGGTGGGTGCGTTGGTAACGGGAGCTGGTATTGCCGACGCAGGGCGTCGCTTGAAGCCAAACAGCGTAACCTGGCCACGTGTGTACGGTGTGGCCCGTTTTGCCAATCCCTTGGTCTCGCCCTAAAAACGAAAAAAATAAATGCTAATATAAGCACATTTCCAGCAAATTTTGGATAAAACATTATTCACATATCTGGCCACAATGCTTCCTTTTGTTACTTCCTTAGTTTACAAATGGCAGTGTATCAAATTCAAAGATTATGTCATGTAAAAAGTGATATGACAGCATTAAAATTAAATGTTTTATAAGTAAAGTTGGCTCACTACAAGCCATGGAGGTGTTTGGGGGGAAGAGGTGCCACAGTTCCTACTCATTCTTGACCTTGGCACTAGATGGGGGTGAGTGGTCAGCATCATGCACTGCCTGCAGTTTCCCCTTGGGCAAAAAAACCCTGTACCCATTGGATAGGAGGCTGTGTGAGCCTCAGATCTCGTCTAAATGCAGAGGCTAGAGAAAAAATCGTTTTCCCCTGTCGGGGATCCAACCCCAGCCATCCAGTCCTCATTCGGGTACTGTGCTGATTGAACTACCCTGGCTCATTCACACTTGCTCTCAATGAAGAACATGAATCATAACCCTGATAATGGAGGCAGCAAACACCAACGAAACATCGATCAATTTCTACCAGACTACGCAATGCAGGCATCTCCACAGATTTACAGCTTCTATGAAGAAAATGCTTAGTGAATTACTGTGACCTAGGAGATCACATTTAAAAAAAAATTTGATAATTACATAAGGACTTTCACAAACTGCATTCTTCACTAATATTAGCAGGGTGTAAAGAAATCATGATGGGCAGAAAAAATGGAAGAAGTGTGCATACAATTTTCTTCGGAAAACAAGTTTTAAAAATCTACAAGAAAAGGAAGACTTATGGGGGGAAAAATATATCTTGAGAAATAAGTTGTGAAGATGCAAACTTGTATTAAAATGACTGGAACAGGATCTAATGTCTGGTCTTTGCACACACACACAATGATAAACCCTCAGGTTCCGTAAAAGAAGGAATTTACTGATTGTCTGAATAATGATGAACTTCTTAAGGAAGACAGTGCACCATGGATTCAGCAAATATTTGAACATGCAGAAGAAAGCAGTTACGACTTGCATCAAGGAGCCATCTTGACATTTGCTAGAGACATGAAAAACCACTGACCCAAGAAAGATATATAAAGCAGAAGTGCAAAACATTTAAGAAAATCAGTTCATGCAATTCATGCAACCTGTTTGCTTACATCGTACATCTATTCTGATACAGAACTCTACTGTCTGCACAGCTGGAATGAACTGTAACAATAACTTTGTGGGAGAAGAATGGAATCATGTCTTAAGTTTGTACTGCTGACCACACAATGCGTAAGCAGGAATAAGGTATTCTGTCCAGTCAGCTGAACAGAGAAGACAAGAGACAGCAGAATGGATTCTACTGGAAGCAAAGCACACAGCAAATCCACAAGCCTTTCCTCTGAGAATATAAGTTTTATTTGTTCCACAACAAAGAACGAATGATCAATAAATTGCCATAAGCTACCACTGTCCATGTGTTTATTGATTTACCCTTCCAAAAACAAAAATACAAAAGTAATATTATGTCACGTAATGTTCTGCCTCCTTTGTAATGGTTTTAATACCGACAAAGGTAAAGTAGCAATGTTTAACACAACTATTTAATGGGTAGAAGAGAAGTGAGAAAAAGAAGTTGTCAGTGGAACCACGGTTCCGGAGAATTTGACGTAAATGCGTCTATACGGAAAGGAAGTTTATATATTGGCTTTATTCTAAATATTTCCTTTATACATTCTTTACAATTGAGTAAAGTTTGATTAAGACTTTGCTTATATAACTTAAATTAGTTACGCTTAAGATGGGTCTGTGGTATTTATTTATTTAGTGTTCTGTCTGACGACAGGTCCATATGAACAGGATCCTTCCATCCTTTTCTCGGACTGGGACCTGTTCATATACGTTCTTGGCAGATGATCCAGAAGTGGGTTGCCATTGCCTTCTTCTGTGTGTGAATGGAGTAATTGTTGGGATGCCACGGAGGAAAACTCCGTGTTGCCTAGACCACGGCCTTGCCCAACACAAGTTATAAATTCGGGCACCGCCGGGAATCGAACCCGAGATCCAAGGATTACAAGGCCAGCGTTCTAACCGCTAGACCACCGTGGTACCTGAATGTAAAGTAATGTAACGTTTCCTAGGTAACAACAATGCCGAGTAAACACGTTTCCTAGGTAACCATTGTTACACTTTTTCGTTTCCCTTTTTCGTTCCACTTTTTCGCCGAATGACCCTTCCTTATAGACGTATTTACGTCAAAAATAGGGCAGTTGCAAAACTGTGATTTTCATAGCTGTAAGAATATCCTGTGCGCGCGTGTAAAGAACGGCAAAATTAAAACGCGGAACACGAGTACAGAAACAACGATTATAGTATTTTCTACAAACTTTTGTTGAAGGTCGGGCTCAACTGTTACTTCCCAGTTTTGAAAGGAAGTTTCATTCGCAGATAAATTTCAATTTAGTTCACTGCTGACCTTATGAACAGAAAACAATAATGTCCCGAGTTAAGTTTCCATTTATTATCGGATTAAGAAAGTCTTTCGCTCTATCGGGGATATTTTCCGATAAACACAGTTTTCCGTCTAATCCTGGTTCCGTTTTTAAAATGCGGAATATGAAGACGACTTTGATATCGTAATTTCACATGTCCCAGATGTGGCTGTTCTTCAAGTATCAGTTCCAATACACTTTCATTTTGAAAAGAAGAGCATGAAAGCTCAGAATGAGTGCTCCAAGGATGCGAGCTCTTGGGCTCAAAAATAAGTAACGCATGGCCATCTATTATTAGCATTAATAACTGATGGAACGCCAATGAGTTACGGTGTCAGTCTGGACGATTGCCTGACGGAATGTGACAGAATATGTTTCGGAAATTCTAAAAAAAAATCCGAGTTGCGATTATCATTGGCTAATAAATTAATTATGAATATTTTCATATTCTCGCGGTCATTCACAATCCCATTCGAGGTCATCACGTGGCTGGCAACTCCTGTGAAAGGGCATCATCGTTAAATGATGCACCTAAATAAACACAGAGGGACAAAATATTCAAGAATATTTAAATATTAACACTGAGTGATTCCACAAAGCTGACAATAATCATTACCATAACTACGAATTTTTGGGGGCAAAAACTCGTAAACCATGACCCGCGGCTCCACAGACTAACCATTATACTTTACGACAAGATTCCTGCTTCTAACGCACTATGAAAAAAATAAAATGGCTGTTGAAGCTTCAAACGAAGAAGTAGCCATTAGTCAGCAGAAACCTAGAGTGAGTAGCAAACCGTCAGCCTATTCACTTTTTATGCCTAGGCAGCGGCTCACCGGATTATCTTCAAGTGATATAAATGTTTACTTTTTCACCGGGGTTCGATTCCCGACAAGGGCATAGATGTTTCTTTGTCATCTCATCAATATCATTCACCTCTAACATAACATGCTTAGACATAAACTGGAAGAAACAACAGGGTGAGCACAAATTAAGTGTACACTTTCAAAATAATACGGAAAACAAATTCGGGTTACTTGGAGCTCAACACCTAAACCAGTCGATAGAAAAACTCTCAAAGTTTTGTACACACCCTACGGAGACTCGATATGTGCTCCACGAGACACACAGCAGATGTCGAGACGATAATCCAACTCGTCCGAAACTTTGTTTAGTGTCCCCAGTGATGGAAGTTGTCAGCTGTGATTAGATACCTCAACTCTGGCGTAAACGGATACTCGGCTGGGTGGTTCCGTGTGAAATTTTGTGTAAATGCACGCTGCACAGCTGTTACAGACTGTTTCTTCAGTATAACTGCAGAACACACCAACTACTCTGTTGGGCGGGTAGCCATTTTCAAAACTAGTGGCATCTAGCGGAGGCGCGCAACAACAACGACGACTCGAGTCATTTGAAACAAAACTTTGAGAGTTTTTCTGTCGACTGACGTGGGTGTGAAGTTTTAAGAACGCCGTATTTGTTTTCTGTTTCGTTTTGAAAGTGTAAAGTTCTCTTGTGCTCGTTCTGTATAAAATTCGGATTTTAGAAGAAGAAAAAAATAATTCTGAAAACTGAACTCAGGGCAGGGTTCTACGGAGAATTTTTATCCTCACTATTACAATCTTTGGCTTCCATAACAGGACACCCGTACACCGTGGTGTTCACTTTGTCTCTTCACGGACAAGCGTTGCTTGGTAAACATTTTATAAATTACTATTAGACTGCAGGCAATGTAAAAACATACACGTATCTCTTCAACATAAAATTTAACCAACTCCTACCTACCTACTTATCAATTGACAAACTTCAAACGTTTGTATACTTTCAACAAACGTTTCACCGTAATACATTAATATACGAAGTAGGACTTGAGGTTTTCACGGTGGAGAGTCCGAAGATGGCTGACTTCTGGGTTGTTGCGCCGTGCAATCTGGTAGAAGTTTACCAACGTTTCAGGGGCCTTTGCTGTCTCCATCATCAGGTCAATGAGTGACCCATCGCCGTGATTAGACCAGACTACACGGCGCTACAACTCAGAAGACAGCCAAACCCTACGAACAATGGCAGTTTCTCAAAAAAAAAAATACGCTTCGCAAAAAGTGAATTAAAAAAAAACTTGATAATTGCTGACATACTGGAACTTTCCATTTTCTTAATATAATAATGGATATTAGAATATCTGCGCGGTGTAAAATGTACGTTTTATGTATTTGAGACAACTGCCTGTTCCTTACCTTCCCTTCAAGTTCTCACCTAGTACACGTACGCATCGCTCAATTGTAGGACGTGATGTATTATGCTCTCTCGCCAGTTCCCATGGCATCAACAGAGTTACTAAACTTCTCACGTCTTCCCACGTCTTCTTCCTGTCTGGATGCCACATGTAATAATAGCAGCCAGAGGAGGAGACAATTCTACTTTCAGCGTTGGATCGATCGCGGTTAGGGAAGTCCGACGTATCACTTCGAGGCGTCGGATCGTCTGGGCG